AAAAATTATAGAAAAATTATAACACAAGGAATAAATAATACACAATGAGTAACGATAACCTGGCTATATACGCGGGGTACCAGTACCGAGTCGATGTGCAGGGGTACGAGGTAATAACCTGGCTATATACGCGGGGTACCAGTACCGAGTCGATGTGCAGGGGTACGAGGTAATTGAGGTAGATACATTATATGTGCAAAAGTATGTGGACACCCCTTCAAATTAGTGGATTTGTCTATTTCAGCAACTGCTTTATATCAGAGTTGTGCCTGTTGTTCACACGATTATCTGCCCTCTCATTGGCTAGAATGGTCCCACCTGATCTCTCCTCCTCCCACCTGCCTTCCATCTTTGAGGACATGTAAACTCAGCAAAAAAAAAAAAAAGTCCTCTCACTGTCAACAGTCAGTATTTGGTGTGGCCACCAGCTGCATTAAGCACTGCAGTGCATCTCCTCCTCATGGACTGCACCAGATTTGCCAGTTCTTGCTGTGAGATGTTACCCCACTCTTCCACCAAGGCACCTGCAAGTTCCCGGACATTTCTGTGGGGAATGGCCCTAGCCCTTACCCTCCGATCCAACAGGTCCCAGATGTGCTCAATGTGATTGATATCCGGGCTCTTCGCTGGCCATGGCAGAACACTGACATTCCTGTCTTGCAGGAAATCACGCACAGAACGAGCAGTATGGCTGGTGGCATTGTCATGCTGGAGGGTCAGGATGAGCCTGCAGGAAGGGTACCACATGAGGGAGGAGGATGTCTTCCCTGTAACACACAGCGTTGAGATCGCCTTCAATGACAACAAGCTCAGTCCAATGATGCTGTGACATACCGCCCCAGACCATGACGGAACCTCCACCTCCAAATCGATCCCGCTCCAGAGTATAGGCCTCGGTGTAACGCTCATTCCTTCGACGATAAACGTGAATCCGACCATCACCCCTGGTGAGACAAAACCGCGACTTGTCAGTGAAGAGCACTTTTTGCCTGTCCTGTCTGGTCCAGCGACGGTGGGTTTGTGCCCATAGGCGACATTCTTGCCGGTGATGTCTGGTGAGGACCTGCCTTACAACAGGCCTACAAGCCCTCAGTCCAGCCTCTCTCAGCCTATTGCGAACAGTCTGAGCACTGATGGAGGGATTGTGCGTTCCTGGTGTAACTCGGGCAGTTGTTGTTGCCATCCTGTACCTGTCCCGCAGGTGTGATGTTCGGATGTACCGATCCTGTGCAGGTGTTGTTACACGTGGTTTGCCACTGCAAGGACGATCGGCTGTCCTGTCTCCCTGTAGCACTGCCTTAGGCGTCTCACAGTACGGACATTGCAATTTATTTCCCCGGCCACATCTTCAGTCCTCATGCCTCCTTGCAGCATGCCTAAGGCACGTTCACGCAGATGAGCAGGGACCCTGGGCATCTTTCTTTTGGTGTTTTTCAGAGTCAGTAGAAAGGCCTCTTTAGTGTCCTAAGTTTTCATAACTGTGACCTTAATTGCCTACCGTCTGTAAGCTGTTAGTGTCTGAATGACCGTTCCACAGGTGCATGTTCATTAATTGTTTATGGTTCATTGAACAAGCATGGGAAACAGTGTTTGAACCCTTTTCAACCCTTTTCAATGAAGATCTGTGAAGATGTGGTGTGGGTGAACGGATGATCTCCGCATGAGTATTTTCCACTGTGAAGCATGGAGGAGGAGGTGTGATGTTGTTTGGGTGCTTTGCTGGTGACACTGTCAGTGATATATTTAGAATTCAAGGCACACTTAACCAGCATGGCTACCACATCATTCTGCAACGATACGCCATCCCATCTGGTTTGGGCTTAGTTGGACTATCATTTGTTTTTCAACAGGACAATGACCCAACACACCTCCAGGCTGTGTAAGGGCTATTTTACCAAGAAGGAGAGTGATGGAGTGCTGCATCAGATGACCTGGCCTCCACAATCACCCGACCTCAACCCAATTGAGATTGTTTGGGATGAGTTGGACCGCAGAGTGAAGGAAAAGCAGCCAACAAGTGCTCAGCATAAGTGGGAACTCCTTCAAGACTGTTGGAAAAGCATTCCTCATGAAGTTGGTTGAGAGAATGCCAAGATTGTGCAAAGCTGTCATCAAGGAAAACTGTGGCTACTTGAATAATCTGAAATATGAAATATGTTTTGATTTGTTTAACACTTTTTTGGTTACTACATGATTCAATTTCATAGTTTCGATGTCTTCACTATTATTCCACAATGTAAAAAATAGTACAAATAAAGAAAAACCCTTGAATGAGTAGGTGTGTCCAAACCTTTGACTGGTACTGTATATTGTGTTGATTACTAAGGTTACTGTCCTATCTACAAAAAAAAAAAAAAAACTTAAATACAAGTTATTTTGTCCTTTGTCCTCATTTAATTGAAATACTGTAGAATTCCATTAATTCCTATGAAGGACTGCTCCCACTGGGGAGTGGCAATATGGCCGCCTGGTGGCTTCAAAGCCTCTCATTGGCCAATACATAGCATCAGCAATCCAGGGTTTATATACATCATTGGATGTAACCCTATCCCAAATATGAACCCTTACCATAACCATTTGGAATGAATGCCTAAACTAAACATAAACATGTGATGTTTCTCCCCCCCCTGGACAAACGTTCAATACTGAAGTCAAACCGTGTTAAACCGTGAGATCTTCTTGGGCTGACAACCAGACAGGAACAGATAATAACGGCGTGTGTCTGTGTGTCTGTGTGTCTGTGTGTCTGTGTGTCTGTGTGTCTGTCTTACAGTATATGCTTTAGAAGATGACTTTACAATACTGCACTGACAGCACTACGGAAATCACCATACCATAGTATGATAGTTCTGTCATTACAGTATTGTAAAGTGATGAAGCCTGGACATGGACATGGTAGTTAACGTAACTGATTTCCTTATTCTCATAAAGTCTCAAGTGCTCTTGGCATCATGCATATGGAGGGAGGATACAGCTTATTGTTATAGAGTCTCAGGGTCTCATATGGAGGGAGGATACAGCTTATTGTTATAGAGTCTCAGGGTCTCATATGGAGGGAGGATACAGCTTATTGTTATAGAGTCTCAGGGTCTCATATGGAGGGAGGATACAGCTTATTGTTATAGAATCTCAGGGTCTCATATGGAGGGAGGATACAGCTTATTGTTATAGAGTCTCAGGGTCTCATTTGGAGGGAGGATACAGCTTATTGTTATAGAGTCTCAGGGTCTCATATGGAGGGAGGATACAGCTTATTGTTATAGAGTCTCGGGGTCTCATATGGAGGGAGGATACAGCTTATTGTTATAGAATCTCAGGGTCTCATATGGAGGGAGGATACAGCTTATTGTTATAGAGTCTCAGGGTCTCATATGGAGGGAGGATACAGCTTATTGTTATAGAGTCTCGGGGTCTCATATGGAGGGAGGATACAGCTTATTGTTATAGAGTCTCAGGGTCTCATATGGAGGGAGGATACAGCTTATTGTTATAGAGTCTCAGGGTCTCATATGGAGGGAGGATACAGCTTATTGTTATAGAGTCTCAGGGTCTCATATGGAGGGAGGATACAGCTTATTGTTATAGAGTCTCAGGGTCTCATATGGAGGGAGGATACAGCTTATTGTTATAGAATCTCAGGGTCTCATATGGAGGGAGGATACAGCTTATTGTTATAGAGTCTCAGGGTCTCATTTGGAGGGAGGATACAGCTTATTGGGCTTATCCAGGCTCTGTCGTAGCCGGCCACGACCGGGAGACCCATGGGGCGGCGCACAATTGGCCCAGCGTCGTCCAGGGTAGGGGAGGGAATGGCCGGCAGGGATGTAGCTCAGTTGGTAGAGCATGGCGTTTGCAACGCCAGGGTTGTGGGTTCGATTCCCACGGGGGGCCAGTATGAAAAATAAAAAATTAATAATGTATGCACTCACTAACTGTAAGTCGCTCTGGATAAGAGCGTCTGCTAAATGACTAAAATGTAAATGTAAATGTAAATGTATTGTTATAGAGTCTCAGGGTCTCATATGGAGGGAGGATACAGCTTATTGTTATAGAGTCTCGGGGTCTCATATGGAGGGAGGATACAGCTTATTGTTATAGAATCTCAGGGTCTCATATGGAGGGAGGATACAGCTTATTGTTATAGAGTCTCAGGGTCTCATATGGAGGGAGGATACAGCTTATTGTTATAGAGTCTCAGGGTCTCATATGGAGGGAGGATACAGCTTATTGTTATAGAGTCTCAGGGTCTCATATGGAGGGAGGATACAGCTTATTGTTATAGAGTCTCAGGGTCTCATATGGAGGGAGGATACAGCTTATTGTTATAGAGTCTCAGGGTCTCATATGGAGGGAGGATACAGCTTATTGTTATAGAGTCTCAGGGTCTCATATGGAGGGAGGATACAGCTTATTGTTATAGAGTCTCAGGGTCTCATATGGAGGGAGGATACAGCTTATTGTTATAGAGTCTCAGGGTCTCATATGGAGGGAGGATACAGCTTATTGTTATAGAGTCTCAGGGTCTCATATGGAGGGAGGATACAGCTTATTGTTATAGAGTCTCAGGGTCTCATATGGAGGGAGGATACAGCTTATTGTTATAGAGTCTCAGGGTCTCATATGGAGGGAGGATACAACTTATTGTTATAGAGTCTCAAGGTATCATATGGAGGGAGGATACAGCTTATTGTTATAGAGTCTCAGGGTCTCATATGGAGGGAGGATACAGCTTATTGTTATAGAGTCTCAGGGTCTCATATGGAGGGAGGATACAGCTTATTGTTATAGAGTCTCAGGGTCTCATATGGAGGGAGGATACAGCTTATTGTTATAGAGTCTCAAGGTCTCATATGGAGGGAGTATACAGCTTATTGTTATAGAGTCTCAAGGTCTCATATGGAGGGAGGATACAGCTTATTGTTATAGAGTCTCAGGGTCTCATATGGAGGGAGGATACAGCTTATTGTCTCATTAGTTATTTGAAGGGACAATAACAGAATATGCTGCTGGAGGTTTACTGTTGATTTCTTCATTAGTCTTCTAAATCACAGTACTTTAACCATATATTAAACAATAAGGCATTTTTACAGGAAACAAGATTGGTTGTCTTTAATGTTCTCAGAGTCGAGCTGCGTGTAGTTATAAATACCTTTATGAAAACTGAAATGGAAACAGAATCAACGTCTCTCAGTTCCATGTGTGATCCATCCTACTGTTCAGTGTCAAAGTACTTCGATAGTTTCACTATAAATACTTCTAAATCAATGTTTGCTCTTCATGCTAGGCTGCCCTGAATGTGGGTTGTGATTTGTGTTCGCAATAGAGAGAGAGAGAAACACAGAGAGAAAGGAAAGGAAGCTGGTTGAGAGAATGCCAAGATTGTTCAATTTCGAAATTTGGTTGTGCATTAGCCCATGTCAGCTAACATTATGTTTTGGGTAAGTTAGTCTAGCGGCCAGCTATCTAAACTAATCTAATCATGGTCGAATTACCAACCGGGGGCCCCATTGATTTAGTTAGTCACTCTCACTCAGATATCATATTAAAAACTGCAAACATGTCTCTCTCTCCACCCAATGACAAATGTAGAATTGCAGGAAATTACCTGTAAAACTAAAACATTTTGTCTCCGCACCATGGCAAAATGAGTAGAATTGCATGAAATTAGTTTTATAATTGCAAAATCTTCTCTATGCCCCATGGCAAAATTGCAAGAAATGAACTCTAAAACTTTCTTTTTTCTCTCTCTGCTGTCAAGAGGGGTTCCACTAAAATGTTTTGCTGGAGAGGTGGGTGGTGCGTAGGGCTCTCGATGGTGCAGCTGCCAAAAGGCTAGGGCCTGCTCTGACCACCTAGGGCCTGCTCTGACCACCTAGGGCCTGCTCTGACCACCTAGGGCCTGACCACCTAGGGTCTGCTCTGACCACCTAGGGCCTGCTCTGACCACCTAGGGCCTGCTCTGACCACCTAGGGCCTGCTCTGACCACCTAGGGCCTGCTCTGACCACGTGTAGATAAAGCAAAGCAGTGAGGTAAAAACAACAACACAGAGTTACATATGGGGTAAAACAAAACATAAAGTCAAAAATGCAACAGAATATATATATACAGTGTGTGCAAATGTAGCAAGTTATGGAGGTAAGGCAATAAATAGGCCATAGTGCAAAATAGTTACAATTTCGTATTAACACCGGAATGATAGACTGATACCAGTCATTTCCTTTCGAATCAGTGAATGGAAGTAAACAAGGTCTTTGAGAGGAAGGAGAGATAAGACATAGCTACTGTAATGTTTGTCAAGAGACTGTTATATCACGTTACACCGTGTGTTGAAGACTTTCCATGCCGTTTGGCGTTTTTGTCTTTTTCAGGAAGGGAAGAAGAAGTTTGACAAGGAGACAGAGAAATACTACACCGTTCTAGAGAAGCACCTGGCCTTGTCCTCCAGGAAGAAAGAGACATTCTTACAAGAGGTAAATCCCCGAGTTCCTAACTATGAGCCCACTTGATACTTTTCCATTTTATATCTGCTTCAAGCAACGGGACCTTTGTGATTAGTGATGAATGTCCCAAATGGTACCTTATTCCTATGGGCCCTAGTTAAATGGTACCTTATTCCTATGGGCCCTAGTTAAATGGTACCTTATTCCTATGGGCCCTAGTTAAATGGTACCTTATTCCTATGGGCCCTAGTTAAATGGTACCTTATTCCTATGGGCCCTAGTTAAATGGTACCTTATTCCTATGGGCCCTAGTTAAATGGTACCTTATTCCTATGGGCCCTAGTTAAATGGTACCTTATTCCTATGGGCCCTAGTTAAATGGTACCTTATTCCTATGGGCCCTAGTTAAATGGTACCTTATTCCTATGGGCCCTAGTTAAATGGTACCTTATTCCTATGGGCCCTAGTTAAATGGTACCTTATTCCTATGGGCCCTAGTTAAATGGTACCTTATTCCTATGGGCCCTAGTTAAATGGTACCTTATTCCTATGGGCCCTAGTTAAATGGTACCTTATTCCTATGGGCCCTAGTTAAATGGTACCTTATTCCTATGGGCCTAGTTAAATGGTACCTTATTCCTATGGGCCCTAGTTAAATGGTACCTTATTCCTATGGGCCCTAGTTAAATGGTACCTTATTCCTATGGCCCTAGTTAAATGGTACCTTATTCCTATGGGCCCTAGTTAAATGGTACCTTATTCCTATGGGCCCTAGTTAAATGGTACCTTATTCCTATGGACCCTAGTTAAATGGTACCTTATTCCTATGGGCCCTAGTTAAATGGTACCTTATTCCTATGGGCCCTAGTTAAATGGTACCTTATTCCTATGGACCCTAGTTAAATGGTACCTTATTCCTATGGGCCCTAGTTAAATGGTACCTTATTCCTATGGGCCCTAGTTAAATGGTACCTTATTCCTATGGGCCCTAGTTAAATGGTACCTTATTCCTATGGGCCCTAGTTAAATGGTACCTTATTCCTATGGGCCCTAGTTAAATGGTACCTTATTCCTATGGGCCCTAGTTAAATGGTACCTTATTCCTATGGCCCTAGTTAAATGGTACCTTATTCCTATGGGCCCTAGTTAAATGGTACCTTTTTCCTATGGGCCCTAGTTAAATGGTACCTTATTCCTATGGGCCCTAGTTAAATGGTACCTTATTCCTATGGGCCCTAGTTAAATGGTACCTTATTCCTATGGGCCCTAGTTAAATGGTACCTTATTCCTATGGGCCCTAGTTAAATGTAGTGCAATGGAGCTTTTCTAAGACCAACTGCACTCTGTCAGTGACAGCACTGTTGTTTATCCTGCTGGTTGCACCGTACCTTCACGGTCAAACACACGGAAGAGTACTCTCGAAACCGGATGGTGTAACCATTAACCCTTTCTCAAATAGTCTCCACAGTATACACACACACACACACACACACACACACACACACACACAGACAGACACACAGACACACACACACACACTACCTTTCCCTTTTTCCTAAAGTTCAGGCCTTGTTTAACTGCCCTATTTCACCTCCAGGCAGACACACAGATTGACAAAGAGAGACAGGTCTTCTATGATGCCTCCCTGGAGTACGTTTTCAAGATCCAGGAGGTCCAAGAAAAGAAGAAGTTTGAATTTGTGGAACCGGTGAGTACCGTTTCAGTATTCAGCTCGGAGCGAAGTGTTCCATTTGGTAGTCAAGGCAACCCCGCTAAATGTAAAAGTTTATACAGCTTACATTAGTTTGGATGTAATGTTGTTGTCTCTCCCTCTCAGCTGCTGGCCTTCCTGCAGGGTCTGTTCACGTTCTACCATGAAGGATACGAGCTCGCTCACGAGTTTGAGCCTTACAAACAACAGCTCCAGTTCAACCTGCAGAACGTAAGTAGCCTGGTCCCAGATCAGACCTGTTTATCCTGGTCCCAGATCAGACCTGTTTATCCTGGTCCCAGATCAGACCTGTAGTCTTTACTAAGTAGCCTGGTCCCAGATCAGACCTGTAGTCTTTACTAAGTAGCCTGGTCCCAGATCAGACCTGTTTATCCTGGTCCCAGATCAGACCTGTAGTCTTTACTAAGTAGCCTGGTCCCAGATCAGACCTGTTTATCCTGGTCCCAGATCAGACCTGTAGTCTTTACTAAGTAGCCTGGTCCCAGATCAGACCTGTTTATCCTGGTCCCAGATCAGACCTGTGTATCCTGGTCCCAGATCAGACCTGTGTATCCTGGTCCCAGATCAGACCTGTGTATCCTGGTCCCAGATCAGACCTGTTTATCCTGGTCCCAGATCAGACCTGTGTATCCTGGTCCCAGATCAGACCTGTGTATCCTGGTCCCAGATCAGACCTGCGTTAACTAACCCTTCTAACTGTCCACCAACTCCTCTAACTACTGTCAAATCAAATCACATTTTATTTGTCACATGCGCCGAATACAACAGGTGTAGACCTCACCGTGAAATGCTCACTTACAAGCCCTTAACCAACAATGCAGTTCAAGACATATATTTACTGAATAAAAATAAATAAAAGTAACACAATAAAATAACAATAACAAGGCTATATTTAGTGGGTATCATTACCGAGTCAATGTGTGGGGGTACAGGTTAGTCGAGGTAATTTGTACATGTAGGTAGGGGTAAAGTGACTATGCATAGATAATAAACAGCTAGTAGCAGCAGTGTAAAATCAAAGGGGAGGGGGGGTCCTGGATGGCAGGAAGCTTGGCCCCAGTGATGTACTGTGCCGTACGCACCACCCTCTGTAGCGCCTTACGGTCAGATGCCAAGCAGTTGCCATACCAGGCGGTGATGCAACCTGTCGAGGATGCTCTCGATGGTGCAGCTGTTGAACTTTATGAGGATCTGGGGACCCCATGCCAAATCTTTTCAGTCTCCTGAGGGGGGAAAGGTGTTGTCGTGCCCTCTTCACGACTGTCTTGGTGTGTTTGGACCATGATAGTTTGTTGGAGAAGTGGACATCAAGGAAATTGAAGCTCTCAACCTGCTCCACTACAGCCCCGTCGATGAGAATGGGGGCATGTTCGGCCCTCCTTTTCCTGTAGTCCACGATCATCTCCTTTGTCTTGATCACGTTGAGGGAGAAGTTGTTGTCCTGGCACCACACGGCCAGGTCTCTGACCTCCTACCTATAGGCTGTCTCATCGTTGTCAGTGATCAGGCCTACCACTGTTGTGTCATCGGCAAACTTAATGATGGTGTTGGAGTCGTGCCTGGCCATGCAGTCATGGGTGAACAGGGAGTACAGGAGGGGACTGAGCACGCACCCCTGAGGGGCCCCCGTGTTGAGGATCAGCGTGGCATATGTGTTGTTGCCTACCCTTACCACCTGGGGGCGGCCCGTCAGGAAGTCCAGGATCCAGTTGCGGAGGGAGGTGTTTAGTCCCAGGGTCCTTAGCTTAGTGATGAGCTTTGTGGGCACTATGGTGTTGAACGCTGAGCTGTAGTTTATGTATGGCAACGATAGTTAAGTGAGTTGGCTAAAGTTTGAGCCCAGAGCAGTACTCTACCTCCAGCTTCAGTCTGCAGAGCGTTCATATTCATATCATGCTGTAACTCTTAACACCTGAGGGGTAGTGTAGCCCACTCAAACCCACTAAATCACAAAAGCTCACAGCAAAATTAAAATGTATGGTGTACTTAACTCCAGAATATATTGACTGGAGAAAATATTGATATGTCTCTTTGGGTGCTGTAGCCCAGGAGTTTCATTCAGGTTGAAACCACAGCAGAGTGGTCGTTGTTCAGGTTGAAACCACAGCAGAGTGGTCGTTGTTCAGGTTGAAACCACAGCAGAGTGGTCGTTGTTCAGGTTGAAACCACAGCAGACTGGTCGTTGTTCTCCTGGCCTTCTCTTCCATTACTGGTGACCCTCTCCTGGCCTTCTATTCCATTACTTGTTGACCCTCTCCTGGACTTTCTCTTCCGTTACTGTGGACCTCTCCTGGCCTTCTCTTCCATTAATGTGAACCTCATCCTGGACTTCTATTCCATTACTGTGACCCCTCGCCTGGACTTCTCTTCCCGTTACTGTGACCTTCGCCTGGACTTCTTCTTCTGTCCGTTACGGTGACCTCCTCCTGGACTTCTCTTCCATTACTGTGACCTCTCCTGGGACTTCTCTTCCATTACGGTGACCTCTCCTGGCCTTCTCTTTCCATTAATGTGGACCTCCTCGCTTTGTTTTTCCCCCCCCTTACTGTGGACCTCTCCTCGTCCTGGCCTTCTCTTCCATACTGAGACCTCTCCTGGCCTTCTCTTCATTCTGAACTCTCCTGGCTTCTTTTCCATTACGTGACCTCCCTGGCCTTCTTCTTATGTGACTCTCTGGCCTCTCTCATTATGTGACTCTCTTGCCTTTTCCATTACTGTGACCTCTCCTGCTCTTCTTCGATTCTGTGACTCTCCTGGCCTTCTCTTCCATTACTGTGACCTCTCCTGGCCTTCTATTCCATTACTGTGACCTCTCCTGGCCTTCTCTTCCGTTACTGTGACCTCTCCTGGCCTTCTCTTCCATTACTGTGACCTCTCCTGGCCTTCTCTTCCATTACTGTGACCTCTCCTGGACTTCTCTTCCGTTACTGTGACCTTCCGGATTCTCACTGTGACCTCTCTGTCTTCTCTTCATTACTGTGACCTCTCCTGGCCTTCTCTTCCATTATGTGACCTCTCTTCCATTCTGTGACTCTCGGCCTTCTCTTCCATTACTGTGACCTCTCCTGGCCTTCTCTTCCATTACTGTGACCTCTCCTGGCCTTCTCTTCCATTACTGTGACCTCTCCTGGCCTTCTCTTCCATTACTGTGACCTCTCCTGGACTTCTCTTCCATTACTGTGACCTCTCCTGGCCTTCTCTTCCATTACTGTGACCTCTCCTGGCCTTCTCTTCCATTACTGTGACCTCTCCTGGACTTCTATTCCATTACTGTGACCTCTCCTGGACTTCTATTCCATTACTGTGACCTCTCCTGGCCTTCTCTTCCATTACTGTGACCTCTCCTGGCCTTCTCTTCCATTACTGTGACTCTCCTTGCCTTCTCTTCCATTTTTCAAATTTTGCCACTTCAAGTCTCTGGCCCCCAATTTCTCTCTGACCCAGATGTCAGCTCCGCTGGCCCGAGTACCCTCTCCCTGCCCCCAACAGACACACAGGGTGCTGAGTGCATTAACAAGGCTCTGCCCCCCCCCCCGGGGTACCTACTCTGTAACCCTCACTCCCTGGGTTAGCAGACACAATTACACACATACACACATACACACACACACACACACACACACATACACACACACAAACAGGGTACTACCAGGGCTCAGCTTGCCCCCGGAGTGCCCACTCAGTAACCCTCTCTGTGGGCTAGCAGACGCAGTAACAGCGTCTGGTGTGGATGAGCCTGTCTCGGCTAGCCTCTCGTGAAGACTGAGGCTGTGAGCAAATGTGAAACAGCACCATTATTCCATATAGAGTGCACTAGTTTTGGACTGAGACCAATTCGACTCTGTGGGGAATATAGGGGTGCCATTGGGGGAAGCACACAGTGTGTCATGGTGACTTGCTCAGTGAAAAATGGAGACGTCTTCCACCGGGCGTTTCTTCATCTGGCGCCGTGGAGCATTAATTATGTATGTATTTCTCAGTATATCCCACTGGCTCACCAGAAAAATGCTTTTATAATGTATGGTGTATAGGTGTTGGTGTTATTGTGTTTGATAAGAACACAGCAGCTTTATTCATCATCTGTTATGATGCAAGTTCTCTCTTTTGACCCATGGAAGCTGGTTTTGTGCCGATCTTTATATTTTGATCTGTGTGTGTGTGTGTGTGTGTGTGTGTGTGTGTGTGTGTGTGTGTGTGTGTGTGTGTGTGTGTGTACACACACAGACGAGGAACAACTTTGTGAGTACGAAGCAGGAGGTAGAGAAACTGATGAAGAGAATCAGATCAGCTGATCAGGACTACAAACCTCCAGGACAGTGGACCATGGAGGGATTCCTCTACGTCCAGGAGAAACGTGAGTCTAACCCCTAACCCTTAACCCCTAACCTCCAGGACAGTGGACCATGGAGGGATTCCTCTACGTCCAGGAGAAACGTGAGTCTAACCCCTAACCCTTAACCCCTAACCCCCAGGACAGTGGACTAACTCTAACCCCACCCTCTGACTCATACACTAACCCAGATCTATAAGTACTTTTTGTCAAACTCGTCTGACTATGTTGGCTAAAGAACAGGCTTTATTGTGTTGTATTCCTTTCTTTCTGTCTTTCTCTCTGAAGAAACCGTCTTCTACTAGCTAGCTCCAATAACTATGTTGCTCCTAGCTAGCTCCAATAACTCTGTTGCTCCTAGCTAGCTCCAATAACTCTGTTGCTCCTAGCTAGCTCCAATAACTCTGTTGCTCCTAGCTAGCTCCAATAACTCTGTTGCTCCTATTCCACATACCTCTAACTAGTTCACATAAATGTAACTGAGAACATAACCTTACTCTGAGAACATAACCTTACTCTGAGAACATAATCTTACTCTGAGAACATAACCTTACTCTGAGAACATAATCTTACTCTGAGAACATAACCTTACTCTGAGAACATAATCTTACTCTGAGACCATAACCTTACTCTGAGAACATAACCTTACTCTGAGAACATAACCTTACTCTGAGAACATAACTTTAACTCTTAACTCTGAGACCATAACTTTAACTATGAGATCATAACTCTAACTCTGAAAACACAACTTTAACTCTGAGAAGATGACTTTAAATCTGAGAACATAATGCTAACTCTGAGAACATAACTTTACTCTGAGACCATAACTCTAAATCTGAGACCATAACTCTAACTCTGAGAACATAACTATAACTCTGAACTCTAACTCTGAGACCATAACTCCCTCCTGTAGCTCAGTTGGTAGAGCATGGTGCTTGCAATGCCAGGGTTGTGGGTTCGATTCCCACAGGGGGGCCAGTATGAAAAATGAATGCACTCACTAACTGTAAGTCGCGCTGGATAAGAGCGTCTGAAAAATGTGAAATTGTAACTCTGAGAACATAACTCTGAGAACATGACTCTAACTCTGAGAATGTAACTCTATCTCATTTCATGTTCCTGATCCAGCTTTGATGTGCTCTCAAACTAGTACTGGAGGAAATACCCTGAATACTGGAAACTTTATCTCAGATGATAAACAACAACAACAACATGTTGTTCTATCTTACTTAATTATGAATTTAATTTCAGAAGTCCTTCCAGAACATTGTGGTTTCAGGAAGCAATCATGGCTTAGCTTGGCAGTCCCAAATTGCAGCCTTTTCCCTACATAGTGCACTACTTTTGACCAGATCCCTACAGGCCCTAGTGAAAAAGTAGTGCCTTTTTCGATGTATTTGTTATTTCATGGCCAATCATGGCTGTGTTGTTCCTTGTCTCTGTTTCAGGGCCGCTGGGATGCACGTGGACGCGACACTACTGTACGTATGAGAAGGGCAGCAAAACCTTCACCATGACCAACTTTGAAACCAAATCAGCTGGCAAACAGGTAGTGTATATTGCAGTACACAGGCATCTAGTGGACAGTGATAAACATTATATTATTACTGTCCAGAGTGTTTCCTGACCAGGAAATACTCTGGGCCCTAGTTCTAGACTATAAGCTAGAGCTGACCCAGGAAATACTCAAGGCCCTAGTTCTAGGCTATAAACTAGAGCTGACCAGGGAAATACTCACGGACTAGTTATTGGCTATAAACTCAGACCTGATCTCAGAGTTTTACCTGGTCTACTCAGGAAAAGGGCCCTATAAATGATTTCCTCTGTTGGAATTGCATTTTAAACCCATAAGGTATCTTTGTCAACAAGCACTAACTCCTTTAAATCCTCCCATATCCTCTGTTGTGTTCTACACCAGTCTAATCATGAGTTCCTCTGTTGTGTTCTACACCAGTCTAATCATGAGTTCCTCTGTTGTGTTCTACACCAGTCTAATCATGAGTTCCTCTGTTGTGTTCTACACCAGTCTCATCATGAGTTCCTCTGTTGTGTTCTACACCAGTCTAATCATGAGTTCCTCTGTTGTGTTCTAGAATGGTCTGGTGGTGAGTCCATCTGAGATGTTCAAGCTGAAGTCCTGTATCCGGAGGAAGACTGACTCCATCGACAAGCGATTCTGCTTCGACATCGAAGTGGTGGAAAGGTCTGTCATCATTCTTCATATCAGTATTTCTATGAATCACCTTTTTATTACTAAAATGGCGCTCCTACTACTACTTGGCCTGCTAGACCCTGCCCTATCTGTGCTTTAGCCAAATGGCTATGACTATGACTATGGCATGGCAACGGTTGTCAACGACTCTAGCCAACTGCTGTAAATATGGTATGCCTATGGCATTGGCATGGCAACGGTAGTCAATGACTCTATCCAACTGCTGTAAATATGGTATGCCTATGTCATGGCAACGTTAGTCAATGACTCTAGCCAACTGCTGTAAATATGGTATGCCTATGGCATTGGCATGGCAACGGTAGTCAATGACTCTATCCAACTGCTGTAAATATGGTATGCCTATGTCATGGCAACGGTAGTCAATGACTCTAGCCAACTGCTGTAAATATGGTATGCCTATGGCATTGGCATGGCAACGGTAGTCAATGACTCTAGCCAACTGCTGTAAATATGGTATGCCTATGTCATGGTAACGGTAGTCAATGACTCTAGCCAACTGCTGTAAATATGGTATGCCTATGGCATTGGCATGGCAACGGTAGTCAATGACTCTAGCCAACTGCTGTAAATATGGTATGCCTATGGCATGGCAACGGTTGTCAATGACTCTATCCAACTGCTGTAAATATGGTATGCCTATGGCATGGCAACGGTAGTCAATGACTCTAGCCAACTGCTGTAAATATGGTATGCCATGGCATGGCAACGGTAGTCAATGACTCTAGCCAACTGCTGTAAATATGGTATGCCTATGGCATGGCAACGGTAGTCAATGACTCTAGCCAACTGCTGTAAATATGGTATGCCATGGCATGGCATGGCAACGGTTGTCAATGACTCTAGCCAACTGCTGTAAATATGGTATGCCAATGGCATGGCATGGCAACGGTTGTCAATGACTCTAGCCAATTGCTGTAAATATGGTATGCCAATGGCATGGCATGGCAACGGTTGTCAATGACTCTAGCCAATTGCTGTAAATATGGTATGCCTATGGCATGGCATGGCAACGGTTGTCAATGACTCTAGCCAATTGCTGTAAATATGGTATGCCTATGGCATGGCAATGGTAGTCAGTGACTCACAAACTGCGCTGAGTAACAATGTACAGTTTGGCTTAAACACATAAAGATCTATTATCCAGCTAGCTCCTATAAGTGTCACTGAAAACATGAACATAATAGAAACTAGATTACAGCAAACAGTAACAGTAATAGTAATCATAGACACTTAAATATGAACAAATTAAGAGGCCTTTATCAACATTATGATTACAGTAACAGACCCAGTTGTCATCGTAGTGATTGTTGTCGTCAGACTAGTGCTGGTTCCACTGAAGTCACTTGGGACTGATTGCAACTGAATGGGATTTGAAAAGACAGACGCCATATGCGGAAAACAAGTGCATTTCCCTTTTGATTAGATGTTTAAACTTCCTGTTTAAACCTTATTGGCTGTTTTTAGCTATTGTTGTTATTAGTGTGTAGATGTGTTTAGATGTTTTCAGCTCTGCGTCCTGCATGTTCTTTAAGTGTCCTTTTTACTGAAGCCTTTTTGTTTTACTAAATGTGCTAGCTAGCAGTTAGTCTTTTATACAGAGATGATTTTATTTTATTTTTCTGTTATTTGTACCCATTTCTTCTTTTCTCTGTGTTTCTTCGTGTCGATGTAGAACTGACATCTGTCATGGAACTCTTTTCCGACCTCTTCAGTTAAAGTTCTGTAAAGTCCGGTACGTTGCTGTACTGTTGCTATCCTGCCCCCCCCCCCCCCCTCTCTCAGAGCAGTGTGCATGTTTCTGCATGTGTTTAAGGCTGATAGTCATCCCCATTCATTCACTCTTTACAACTTCTAATGAACTTTGAATAAAAATACATTGCTTTTTTTTTTTCTTCACCAATCACAATCACCGAATCAGACTTCACCAATCACAATCAACGAATCAGACTTCACCAATCACAATCAATCGTGATGGGAAAGGAAAGCGTGACGTAAATAAATACTCCACTTGAATAATTTCTTCTCATCTACAATTACTATAATCGTTTATCGATTTCAATAATATCATTCTGACTTTAAGTAATGGATTCATTCATCAACTTGATTCCATTTGTACAATTTTCAGATTTCAGAGACCCTTAATGCATGGGGGGGAACATTGTTTATTAATAGGACTTAAATGTTTGACTAGCCCAGTAAGAAGGGCAGGGAGTGAGGCAGACAGACGTTCAGATGCAGATCAAACCGGTCCTGGAGGAGAAGAAAAATCAATTGATCAAGTGGTTTCATTCATGAGATGACGGCATCAGAACAGGCAGGCCTCGCTCGGCTGAGTCGGTGTGTTTCAAAATGGAGCGGTAGCTAACCACCACACCTGGATTCAAATACTATTTGAAATCTTTCAAATCATTTCAGCATTTGTTCTAGCCTGCCTAGGATGCCAGATGGGCAGGTATACAGGTTTGGGAATATTCTATAAGTACATCCATTGGTTTGATTAATACAGGCAACATAAAAAAAAAACAACATATCAAGTATTTTAAATGATACAAAAAAAAAGTATTTGAACCTAGGTCTGGTCAGGGCAGCTGTCTTCACCTCCAATCCGAGCGCTGCTGAGCTGAGCATGGACAATAACTCCTGTTTAACTGGCTGGGTAGCTAACTAATTTATCACCTGAAAGATCAGATATGCTTATTCTAACCGCGAGGGCAACGTGGAGCCACGACCCCAGTCAGCTTCCTGTACGGTGTACATTTGAGGACATCCTTATCCTCAAGCCTCACCAGGGGGATACGGTGGAGTTGCCCCTGATCTTCGGTCAGTTTTTGTTTTTTTCCACTAATCGTTAAGGTTAGTATTGGGGGAGGGGAAGCTGATCTGTACCTAGGGAAAGTTTACCCAGGAGCCCTCACATCAGAGTGAGGCATGACGCTTGCGACTGAGGTTGTCCTAAAATGGACACCGTATGTTCATCTCCAGCTCATCCATTCATCATCATTACATTACACTTGCTGTCTGTGTGTTCTCAGCCTTCATGTTTAATAGCAACTATACACAGCAGCAGCATCATCTAGCTACAAGGCTTTCAGCTAGTGCTAACCCTTACTACTAGCTGCTGGGGGGTAATGTTGGGAATGCATCAATGTATGAGTACATGTTAGCCTGTATTTACTATTACATGGATACTATAACATTAATACTATTACATGGATACAATTACATGGATACAATTACATGGATACTACATTAATAATATTACATGGATACTATTACATTAATAATATTACATGGATACTATTACATTAATACTATTACATGGATACTATTACATGGATACTATTACATGGATACTATTACATGGATACTATTACATGGATACTATTACATGGATACTATTACATGGATACTATCACATGGATACTATCACATGGATACTATTAAATTAATACTATTACATTAATACTATTACATGGATACTATTACATTAATACTATTGCATGATATTATTACATTAATAATATTACATCGATACTATTACATTAATACTATTACATCGATACTATTACATTAATAATATTACATGGATACTATTATATGGATACTATTACATGGATAATATCACATGGATACTATTAAATTAATACTATTACATTAATACTATTACATGGGTAATATTATATTAATACTATTACAATAATACTTTTACATGGATATTATTACATTAATATGATTACATTAATACTATTACATCGATACTATTACATTAATAATATTACATGGATTATATTATATATATACTTTTACATGGATACTATGACATGGATACTATTACATGGATATTATTACATATATACTATTACATCGATACTATTACATTAATAATATTACATGGATACTATTATATGGATACTATTACATGGATAATATCACATGGATACTATTAAATTAATACTATTACATTAATACTATTACATGGGTAATATTATATTAATACTATTACAATAATACTTTTACATGGATATTATTACATTAATATGATTACATTAATACTATTACATCGATACTATTACATTAATAATATTACATGGATTATATTATATATATACTTTTACATGGATACTATGACATGGATACTATTACATGGATACTATTACATTAATACTATTACATGGATAATATTACATTAATACTAATACATGGATACTATTACATAGATAATTTTACATGGATACTATGACATGGATACTATTACATGGATAATATTACATTAATACTATTACATGGATACTATGAAAAATTGGTCTGAAATGAGCCTTCAGAGGGATTGTGTATTCAGATATTAGACACATCTGGAGATAGACTATAGAACCCTACAGGGATCAGCTGGAGATAGACTATAGAACCCTACAGGGATCAGCTGGAGATAGACTATAGAACCCTACAGGGATCAGCTGGAGATAGACTATAGAACCCTACAGGGATCAGCTGGAGATAGACTATAGAACCCTACAGGGATCAGCTGGAGATAGACTATAGAACCCTACAGGGATCAGCTGGAGATAGACTATAGAACCCTACAGGGACAGCTGGAGATAGACTATAGAACCCTACAGGGATCAGCTGGAGATAGACTATAGAAACCCTACAGGGATCAGCTGGAGATAGACTATAGAACCCTACAGGGAACAGCTGGAGATAGACTATAGAACCCTACAGGGATCAGCTGGAGATAGACTATAGAACCCTACAGGGAACAGCTGGAGATAGACTATAGAACCCTACAGGGATCAGCTGGAGATAGACTATAGAACCCTACAGGGATCAGCTGGAGATAGACTATAGAACCCTACAGGGATCAGCTGGAGATAGACTATAGAACCCTACAGGGATCAGCTGGAGATAGACTATAGAACCCTACAGGGATCAGCTGGAGATAGACTATAGAACCCTACAGGGATCAGCTGGAGATAGACTATAGAACCCTACAGGGAACAGCTGGAGATAGACTATAGAACCCTACAGGGATCAGCTGGAGATAGACTATAGAACCCTACAGGGATCAGCTGGAGATAGACTATAGAACCCTACAGGGAACAGCTGGAGATAGACTATAGAACCCTACAGGGATCAGCTGGAGATAGACTATAGAACCCTACAGGGATCAGCTGGAGATAGACTATAGAACCCTACAGGGAACATCTGGAGATAGACTATAGAACCCTACAGGGATCAGCTGGAGATAGACTATAGAACCCTACAGGGAACATCTGGAGATAGACTATAGAACCCTACAGGGATCAGCTGGAGATAGACTATAGAACCCTACAGGGATCAGCTGGAGATAGACTATAGAACCCTACAGGGAACAGCTGGAGATAGACTATATAACCCTACAGGGATCAGCTGGAGATAGACTATAGAACCCTACAGGGAACAGCTGGAGATAGACTATAGAACCCTACAGGGATCAGCTGGAGATAGACTATAGAACCCTACAGGGAACAGCTGGAGATAGACTATAGAACCCTACAGGGATCAGCTGGAGATAGACTATAGAACCCTACAGGGATCAGCTGGAGATAGACTATAGAACCCTACAGGGATCAGCTGGAGATAGACTATAGAACCCTACAGGGAACAGCTGGAGATAGACTATAGAACCCTACAGGGAACAGCTGGAGATAGACTATAGAACCCTACAGGGATCAGCTGGAGATAGACTATAGAACCCTACAGGGATCAGCTGGAGATAGACTATAGAACCCTACAGGGATCAGCTGGAGATAGACTATAGAACCCTACAGGGAACATCTGGAGATAGACTATAGAACCCTACAGGGATCAGCTGGAGATAGACTATAGAACCCTACAGGGATCAGCTGGAGATAGACTATAGAACCCTACAGGGAACAGCTGGAGATAGACTATATAACCCTACAGGGATCAGCTGGAGATAGACTATAGAACCCTACAGGGAACAGCTGGAGATAGACTATAGAACCCTACAGGGATCAGCTGGAGATAGACTATAGAACCCTACAGGGAACAGCTGGAGATAGACTATAGAACCCTACAGGGATCAGCTGGAGATAGACTATAGAACCCTACAGGGATCAGCTGGAGATAGACTATAGAACCCTACAGGGATCAGCTGGAGATAGACTATAGAACCCTACAGGGAACAGCTGGAGATAGACTATAGAACCCTACAGGGAACAGCTGGAGATAGACTATAGAACCCTACAGGGATCAGCTGGAGATAGACTATAGAACCCTACAGGGATCAGCTGGAGATAGACTATAGAACCCTACAGGGATCAGCTGGAGATAGACTATAGAACCCTACAGGGATCAGCTGGAGATAGACTATAGAACCCTACAGGGATCAGCTGGAGATAGACTATAGAACCCTACAGGGATCAGCTGGAGATAGACTATAGAACCCTACAGGGATCAGCTGGAGATAGACTATAGAACCCTACAGGGATCAGCTGGAGATAGACTATATAACCCTACAGGGATCAGCTGGAGATAGACTATAGAACCCTACAGGGTTCTGCAAGGAGGAGAAATGATCCACTCTCAAATCAAATCAAGCACTATACTAATCTGTTTAATTTGGAGTGGGAATGTAATCATTAACATCATTTACAGAAGGCCACACAGCACTGGGTGAAGACTGCTATTTTTAAGCACAGTGGTAATTTCATTGAATTAATTTAATAGGGGTTTTGTCTGGTGTATAAACATAGCCTGCTACTGTATCACTATGAATGCGTCTCAAATGGCACCGTATTCCCTATATAGTGCACTACCTTTGACCAGACCCCTATGGGAGAGGGAGAGCCTATGGGCCCTGGTCTAAAGTAGTGCACTAAATAGGGAATAGGGTGCCATTTGAGATGCAGACATATGGACCCTGGGTATTGAGATGTGATGTGACTAAAGTATCCTGTGTGGTGAGTGTTGTGTTAACCTATTTCAGGCATGGCATCGTGACTCTCCAGGCTCTGTCTGAGTCCAACAGAAGGCTGTGGCTGGAGGCTATGGATGGCAAGGAGCCGGTGATTAACCTCTCCCTCTCTCTTCTCACCTCTCTCTCTCTCTCTCTCTCTCTCTCTCTCTCTTTTCATCTCTCCTTCTCACCTCTCCCTCTCTCTTCTCACCTCTCTCTCTCTCTATATCTCTCTCTTTTTCTCTCTCTCTCTCTCTCTTTTCATCTCTCCTTCTCAACTCTCCCCCTCTCTCTCTCTCTATCTCTCTCTGTCTCGCTCTCTCTCTCTCTCTCTCTCTCTCTTTTCATCTCTCCTTCTCAACTCTCCCCCTCTCTCTCTCTCTATCTCTCTCTGTCTCTTCTCTCTCTCTCTCTCTCTCTCTCTCTCTTTTATATTCCCACTCTTGTACAGTCTAGCTGCTTCTGGTGTCCGGCAGGGACATAGTGAAAATATGTTTGTATTTGGTGCCCCCTTCTGGCTGTATGAAACATAACTATACTGTAGCTATAGGACAGGTGTGTCAAACTGAATTCCTGGGGGGCTGTATGTCTGCGAGATTTCACTCCTCCCTTATACTTGATTAATCAATTAACATCATTGATTAGTTAGGAACTCCTCTTACCTGGTTGTCTAGGTTGTAGCCCTTTACACTCGTACCCATATACAGGTTGAAAATGGCAGATCTGGACACTGATAAGCAGCTAAATTGGAACACAGTGGCTGTACAGTAACATGCTATACATGAGGTCAGAGCTCAGGGCCTGTGCTTCACAGCTCTGTCTGGGTTTTGACTGACAGCCTTTCTGAACTTGAGCACCTTGCTCGACAGTAAGATGGCCTCCATCCCTCCTGATAATTGGGTAAATTAAGACGACTCTATTTATGTTTGAAAGATGAAACATTGAGGATTATAATAAATATCGCTTCGATGTCATACAAGCAAGTCAAACGACCAGCTGACCCAGATTGTGATAGATAAAATAAAGTTTTTGGATTGCGTAAACAACAACAGTAATTGTGTGATGGCGGGGATGCAGGACTGTGTTCCAAACAAAACAACTACAAGTGTGCTTGCTCTAAATCCTCAACGGCACAGCCAGGAGAGCTACAAAAAAACTAAAAAAAACACTTATAGTTAAAGACTCTTCTTTGAGTCATAAAAGTGCATTGAAATGACGTAGGAACTGTGCAGACTTGGAGAGGTGTGAGGCCACTTGGAGACACCAGCTAGTCCTCTCACTCAAACCCACACTTTGGAGAGGTGTGAGGCCACTTGGAGACACCAGCTAGTCCTCTCACTCAAACCCACACGTTGGAGAGGTGTGAGGCCACTTTGAGACACCAGTTAGTCCTCTCACTCAAACCCACACTTTGGAGAGGTGTGAGGCCACTTGGAGACACCAGTTAGTCCTCTCACTCAAACCCACACTTTGGAGAGGTGTGAGGCCACTTTGAGACACCAGTTAGTCCTCTCACTCAAACCCACACTTTGGAGAGGTGTGAGGCCACTTGGAGACACCAGTTAGTCCTCTCACTCAAACCCCCCAGTTTGGAGAGGTGCGAGGCCACTTGGAGACACCAGTTAGTCCTCTCACTCAAACCCACACTTTGGAGAGGTGTGAGGCCACTTGGAGACACCAGTTAGTCCTCTCACTCAAACCCACACTTTGGAGAGGTGTGAGGCCACTTGGAGACACCAGTTAGTCCTCTCACTCAAACCCACACTTTGGAGAGGTGTGAGGCCACTTGGAGACACCAGTTAGTCCTCTCACTCAAACCCACACTTTGGAGAGGTGTGAGGCCACTTGGAGACACCCAGTTAGTCCTCTCACTCAAACCCACACTTTGGAGAGGTGTGAGGCCACTTGGAGACACCAGTTAGTCCTCTCACTCAAACCCACACTTTGGAGAGGTGTGAGGCCACTTGGAGACACCAGTTAGTCCTCTCACTCAAACCCACACTTTGGAGAGGTGTGAGGCCACGTGGAGACACCAGTTAGTCCTCTCACTCAAACCCACACTTTGGAGAGGTGTGAGGCCACGTGGAGACACCAGTTAGTCTCTCACTCAAACCAACTTTGGAGAGGTGTGAGCCATGGAGACCCGTTAGCTCCTCTCACTCAAAACCCACACTTTGGAGAGGTGTGAGGCCACTTGGAGACACCAGTTAGTCCTCTCACTCAAACCCACACTTTGGAGAGGTGTGAGGCCACGTGGAGACACCAGTTAGTCCTCTCACTCAAACCCACACTTTGGAGAGGTGTGAGGCCACTTGGAGACACCAGTTAGTCCTCTCACTCAAACCCACACTTTGGAGAGGTGTGAGGCCAATTGGAGACACCAGTTAGTCCTCTCACTCAAACCCCACACTTTGGAGAGGTGTGAGGCCACTTGGAGACACCAGCTAGTCCTCTCACTCAAACCCACACGTTTGGAGAGGTGTGAGGCCACTTGGAGACACCAGTTTAGTCCTCTCACTCAAACCCACACTTTGGAGAGGTGTGAGGCCACTTGGAGACACCAGTTAGTCCTCTCACTCAAACCCACACTTTGGAGAGGTGTGAGGCCACTTGGAGACACCAGTTAGTCCTCTCACTCAAACCCACACTTTGGAGAGAGGTGTGAGGCCACTTGGAGACACCAGTTAGTCCTCTCACTCAAACCCACACTTTGGAGAGGTGTGAGGCCACTTGGAGACCACCAGTTAGTCCTCTCACTCAAACCCACACTTTGGAGAGTGTGTGAGGCCACTTGGAGACACCAGTTAGTCCTCTCACTCAAACCCACACTTTGGAGAGGTGTGAGGCCACTTGGAGACACCAGTTAGTCCTCTCACTCAAACCCACACTTTGGAGAGGTGTGAGGCCACTTGGAGACACAAGTTAGTCCTCTCACTCAAACCCATACTTTGGAGAGGTGTGAGGCCACTTGGAGACACAGTTAGTCCTCTCACTCAAACCCACACTTTGGAGAGGTGTGAGGCCACTTGGAGACACCAGTTAGTCCTCTCACTCAAACCCACACTTTGGAGAGGTGTGAGGCCACTTGGAGACACCAGTTAGTCCTCTCACTCAAACCCACACTTGGAGAGGTGTGAGGCCACTTGGAGACACCAGTTAGTCCTCTCACTCAAACCCACACTTTGGAGAGGTGTGAGGCCACTTGGAGACACAAGTTAGTCCTCTCACTCAAACCCACACTTTGGAGAGGGTGTGAGGCCACGTGGAGACACCAGTTAGTCCTCTCACTCAAACCCACACTTTGGAGAGGTGTGAGGCCACTTGGAGACACCAGTTAGTCCTCTCACTCAAACCCACACTTTGGAGAGGTGTGAGGCCACTTTGAGACACCAGTTAGTCCTCTCACTCAAACCCACACTTTGGAGAGGTGTGAGGCCACTTGGAGACACCAGTTAGTCCTCTCACTCAAACCCACACTTTGGAGAGGTGTGAGGCCACTTGGAGACACCAGTTAGTCCTCTCACTCAAAACCCACACTTTGGAGAGGTGTGAGGCCACGTGGAGACACCAGTTAGTCCTCTCACTCAAACCCACACTTTGGAGAGGTGTGAGGCCACTTGGAGACACCAGTTAGTCCTCTCACTCAAACCCACACTTTGGAGAGGTGTGAGGCCACTTTGAGACACCAGTTAGTCCTCTCACTCAAACCCACCACTTTGGAGAGGTGTGATGCCACTTGGAGACACCAGTTAGTCCTCTCACTCAAACCCACACTTTGGAGAGGTGTGAGGCCACTTGGAGACACCAGTTAGTCCTCTCACTCAAACCCACACTTTGGAGAGGTGTGAGGCCACTTGGAGACACCAGTTAGTCCTCTCACTCAAACCCACACTTTGGAGAGGTGTGAGGCCACTTGGAGACACCAGTTAGTCCTCTCACTCAAACCCACACTTTGGAGAGGTGTGAGGCCACGTGGAGACACCAGTTAGTCCTCTCACTCAAACCCACACTTTGGAGAGGTGTGAGGCCACTTGGAGACACCAGTTAGTCCTCTCACTCAAACCCACACTTTGGAGAGGTGTGAGGCCACTTTGAGACACCAGTTAGTCCTCTCACTCAAACCCACACTTTGGAGAGGTGTGAGGCCACTTGGAGACACCAGTTAGTCCTCTCACTCAAACCCACACTTTGGAGAGGTGTGAGGCCACTTGGAGACCACCAGTTAGTCCTCTCACTCAAACCCACACTTTGGAGAGGTGTGAGGCACGTGGAGACACCAGTTAGTCCTCTCACTCAAACCCACACTTTGGAGAGGTGTGAGGCCACTTGGAGACACCAGTTAGTCCTCTCACTCAAACCCACACTTTGGAGAGGTGTGAGGCCACTTTGAGACAACCAGTTAGTCCTCTCACTCAAACCCACACTTTGGGAGAGGTGTGAGGCCACTTGGAGACACCAGTTAGTCCTCTCACTCAAACCCACACTTTGGAGAGGTGTGAGGCCACTTGGAGACACCAGTTAGTCCTCTCACTCAAACCCACACTTTGGAGAGATGTGAGGCCACTTGGAGACACCAGTTAGTCCTCTCACTCAAACCCTTGGCATTGTGTTTAGTCTTATGTGGCACCTACCCCCCGTTCTCCAGGAATATTCTGATCATGTTACTGAATGTTTCCAGAGTATTTTCAGATTTTGTTATCAACAAATGAGGCGAAAAGGACAGTAAATGTAAAATGCACATAAAATCAACATTGTAATGTTTGGATTCAGTCTTGTGTCAGGTGAACTCTTGTGTCCTCACCTTTGGTCTAATAATTTTCCCATAATCTCCAAACTGTTCCCTTTCAATTGCTACCATTGTTATGCATTTCCATATTTCTTCTGTAAGAAACATTTAAATGATGCCCTATCCATATAGGACAATTCCCATGAGTGTAAAGGGTTAATAACAAACATGTCCCTCCTGGAAGTGAGTTTGGACACCCTGCTTTAGGATGTGTCCTCTGTAAGATGGTTTGGACACCCTGCTTTAGGATGTGTCCTCTGTAAGATGGTTTGGACACCCTGCTTTAGGATGTGTCCTCTGTAAGATGGTTTGGACACCCTGCTTTAGGATGTGTCCTCTGTAAGATGGTTGGACACCCTGCTTTAGGATGTGTCCTCTGTAAGAGGTTTGGACACCCTGCTTTAGGATGTGTCCTCTGTAAGATGGTTTGGACACCTGCTTAGGATGTTCCTCTGTAAGATGGGTTTGGACACCTGTGTAGGTGTGTCCTCTGTAAAATGGTTTGGGACACCCTGCTTTAGGATGTGTCTCTGTAAGATGGTTTGGACACCCTGCTTTAGGATGTGTCCTCTGTAAGATGGTTTGGACACCCTGCTTTAGGATGTGTCCTCTGTAAGATGGTTTGGACACCCTGCTTTAGGATGTGTTTTCTGTAAGATGGTTGGACACCCTGCTTTAGGATGTGTCCTCTGTAGATGGTTTTGGACACCCTGCTTTAGGATGTGTCCTCTGTAAGATGGTTTTGACACCCTGCTTTAGGATGTGTCCTCTGTAAGATGGTTTGGACACCCTGCTTTAGGATGTGTCCTCTGTAAGATGGTTTTGACACCCTGCTTTAGGATGTGTCCTCTGTAAGATGGTTTTGACACCCTGCTTTAGGATGTGTCCTCTGTAAAATGGTTTGGACACCCTGCTTTAGGATGTGTCCTCTGTAAAATGGTTTGGACACCCTGCTTTAGGATGTGTCCTCTGTAAGATGGTTTTCAACTGAGTGTAATTAACTCTGTTGATTTTCTCCAGATTTACAACCTTCCAGCCATTCTGAGCAAGAAAGAAGAGAGTAAGTATTTTATCGAACACTCATATGAATATACTACACAACACATGTACAGCATATTACAGTTCTGACTTTCCTAAGTGTCCAAAGAGTAAATCATATGTCTAATGACAGATGCATTATCTAATGCTAACCCTAAAACCATTGTATTGCTTGTTGTTGTTGTTGTTGTTGTTGTTGTTGTTGTCTGTAGCCATCCACTTTTACCCATTAACTCCACCTACGCAGTTAGACTCAGTTGAATAGCGTGAATCATCATTAGTACACACTCTCTGTGTGAGAGAACAAAGCTGCAATCACAACACTCAGATTATTCATCCCATTCCCTCTACAGTGCACTACTATTCAACAGAGACCCGCGGGCCCTCAAGTTCTGTGTATTAAACCCAGTCAACCCTGCTCTTTATCTTCCCTGTGTTTCAGCGTACCTAAACGAGGCAGGGTTTAATTTTGTGAGGAAATGTATTGACCTGGTGGAGGTACGAGGTGAGTCATCAGAGCAGACATTTTCTCTCCCTGCTCCCAGGCTTCAGCTGTCAAAACAGTCTCACTGTAATGCTGCGTGACCAAGCACGGGAAACCAACACCACTTCGATTCTCATTAGGTTTATGTGTGTTGGGTGTGTGTGTGTGTGTGTGTGTGTGTGTGTGTGTGTGATCTCATAGGGATCAACACGTTGGGGCCTCTACAGAAATAGGAGGGGTCAACTCTAAGGTCCAGAAGTTGATGGACCACTGTGTTTTGGTAAGTAGGCCTCTGGCTATCTCGCTCTCTCTAGCGCAGGTCTTCGTCTCTCTATATCTCTGCCTTATCGTCTCTATCTCTCTATCTATATCATGTCTCTCTTCTTCTCTCTATATCTCTCCTCTCTCGATTCTACTATCTCTCTCTATCTCTCTCTCATCTCTCTCGTATCTATTTCTTTCCTCTCTCTCACTCTCTCTCTCTCTATCTCTCTCTCTCTATCTTCTCCTCTCTCTCTCTCTCTTCTCTCTCTCTGCTAGGTATCCACATCGCCTTATGACAGCGGGTGTAGACTTACGTGAAATGTTTTTACGAGCCCTTTCCCAACGATGCAGAGGTAAAAAAGAATATACAAATATAAATAGGAACCACAGGAGGAAAATATAAAATACACAAGAACGGAGCTAATACAGGGAGTCCAGTACCAGACTCATGTGGAGCTATAACAGGGAGTACCAGTACCAGATCAATGTGGAGCTATTATACAGGGAGTACCAGTACCCAGATCAGGTGGAGCCTATATACAGGGAGTACCAGATCAATGTGGAGGTATATAAAGGGGAGTTACCTGTACCAGTCAAGTGGCAGCTAATACAGGAAGTACAGTCACCAGATCAATGTGGGAGATATATACGGGAGTACCAGATCAACGTGGAGTATATACAGGGATACCAGGATCAATGTGGGCTATATACAGGGCAGTACCCAGTACCAGATCAAATGTGGAGCTATATACAGGAGTACCAGTACCAGATCAATGTGGAGCCATATACAGGGATAGTATCCAGTACCATAAATGTGGAGCTATTACAGGGAGTACAGACCAGATCAAGGTGGAGCGATATACAGGGTAAGGTACCAGAACAGGATCAAGTGGAGCTATACAGGGATTTACAGTACAGATCAATGTGGAGCTAGATTTACAGGGTAGTACCAGTACCAGATCAATGGGGAGCTATCTACAGGGAGTACCAGTACCCAGCTCAATGTGGAGACTATATACAGGAGTACCAGATCAATGTGGAGCGATATACAGGGAGTACCAGAACCCGATAATGTGGAGCTATACACAGGGAAGTACCAGTTACCAGATCAATGTGAGCTATTACGGGAGTAAAGTACCAGATCAAGTGGTAGCGATATACAGGGAGTAGCAGAACCAGATCCATGTGTGAGCTAATCCAGGGAGTACCAGATCCATGTGGAGCTATATACAGGAGTACCAGATCAAGTGGAGATATATTACAGGGGTACCAGTCAATGTGGAGCTATATAAAGGGAGTACCAGTACAGATATGTGGAGCTTATTACAGGAAGAGTACCAGTACCGATTCCTCAATGTGGAGCGATTAAAGGAAGACCAGTCCCAGATCAATGTGTGAGCTCTATACAGGAGAACAGTACCAGATACCAATGTGGAGTATAACAGGGAGTACCGTTACCAGATCAATGGGAGCTATATACAGGGAAGTACAGTACAAGATCAATGTGTAGCTATGGACAGGGAGTACCAGAACAATGTGGAGCTATATACAGGGAGTACCAGTACCAGGCTCAACCCGCAGGAGGAGATACGGGTAGTACCAGTACCAGATCACATGTGAGATAATAGACAGGGAAAGTACAAGATCAATGTGGCGCTATATACATGGAGTACAGAACCAATGTGGATATATTACAGGAGTACAGACCCAGATCAAATGTGGGCTATAAAAGGGGACCGATCAATGTGGGCTATATACATGGGTACCAGAAAACAATGTGGAGCTATTCACAGGGAGTCACAGTACCAGATCAATGTGGAGCTAATACAGGGAGTACCAGATCAATGTGGTGGAGCTATATACAAGGGAGTACCAGTACCAGAGCAATGTGGAGCTATATACAGGGGTACCAGTACCAGATCAATGTGGAGCTATATACAGGGAGTACCAGTACCAGATAAATGTGGAGCTCTATCAGGAGAGTACCCAGTAGCAAGATCAAGTGGAGCTATTACAGGGAGTACCAGTTACAGATCCAATGTGGAGCTATATACAGGGAAGTACCAGTTTACCAGATCAATGTGAGCTTATAACAGGACCCAGTTACCAGTACCAGAATCAACGGGGAGCTAATACGGAAAGTACAGTACCAGATCAATGTAGAGCAGATAGGAAGTACCAGACCAGATCAAGGTGGAGCTATATACAGGGAGTACAATAACAATGTGGAGCTATATACAGGGAGTACCAGTACCAGAGCAATGTGGAAGCTAGGAGCTATATACAGGGAGTATCAAACCAGATCAATGTGGAGCTATTATACAGGGAGTACCGTACCAGGATCAATGTGGAGATATATACAGGGAAGAAGTACCAGGACCGATCAACATGTGGAAGCTATATAAGGAAGTTACCAGTAACAGATCAATGTGGAGCTATATACAGGAAAGTACCAGTTACCAGATCAATGTGGAAGCGAATACTACAGGGAGATACAGTACAGATCAAGGTGGAGCTAATATAAGGGAGACCAGAACCAGGAGCAATGTGGAGCTATCTACAGGGAGTAACAGTACCAGATCAATGTGGAGCTATATACAGGAAGTACCAGTTACCAGATCAAGTGGAGATAACGGGAGTACCTCGGTACCAGATCAATGTGAGCTTATACAGGGAGTACCAGGTTATCACTGTGGAGCATACAGGGAGAGTACCAATCAATGTGGAGCTATATACAGGGCGTACAGTTACCAGATCAATGTGGAGCTATATACATGGAGTACCAGAAAAGTGTGGAGCCTATATACAGGGAGGTACAGTACCAGATCAACTGTGGAGTATATACAGGGAGGACCAGTACAGATCAATGGGAGCTATTAAGGGAGATACCAGTACCAGATCAAGTGGGGGAGCTATATACCAGGGAGTCCAGTACCAGATCAAGTGGAGCTACTATCAGGAAGTACCAGTACCAGATCAATGTGGAGCTATATACAGGAATTACCAGTACCAGATCAAGTAGAGCTTATATACAGGAAGTACCAGACCAAGACAAATGTGGAAGTATATACAGGGAGTACCATAACATGTGGAAGATATACAGGGAGACCAGTACCCAGATCAATGTGGAGCTATATACAGGAAGTACCAGTACCAGATTCAATGTGGAGCTATCTAAGGAAGTACCAGTACCAGATCAATGTGGAGCTATATTACAGGAGAAGTACCAGTACCAGTCAATGTGGAGTATTATACAGGGAGTTAGTTACCAGTTTGACCAGATCAATGTGGAGCTATAACATGGCGTACCCAGGATCAATGTGGAAGCTTAGTATACGGGCAGTACCCGTACCAGATCAATACGGAGCTATATACCGGGATAGTACACATAGCAATGTGGAGTATATACAGGGAGTTACAGATCAATGTGGAAGCTATATACAGAGAGTACCCCCAGTACCAGATTCAATGTGGAGCTATATACAGGAAGTACAGTACCAGACAATGTGGGAGCTCTGATACAGGGAGTACCAGTACCAGATCAATGTGGAGCTATATAAGGGAGTACCAGTACCAGTCAATTATGGAGCTATATACAGGGCAGTACCCGTTACCGATCAATGTGGAGTATATACGGGAGTACAGTACCCAATCAATGTAGGAGCTATAACAGGGATTACAGTACCCGGATCAATGTGGTGGAGCTATATACAGGGAGTACCAGTCCAGGATCAATGTGGAGCTAATACAGGATTACCAGCTACCAGATCAATGGGAGCTAATGACAGAAGTACTGTACCAGATCAATGTGGGGAGCCTTATATTTACAGGGGAGTACCAGATCACTGTGGAGTATATCAGGGAAGTACCAGATAGATGTAAGAGCTATATACAGGGAGTACAGTACAGATTCAATTGTGGGTATATACAGGGAGCTAACAGACCAGATCAATGTGGAAGGTATATAAAGGGTAGTACCAGTACCATATCAATGTGGAAGGTATATACAGGGAGTACCAGTACAGATCAATGTGGAGCTATATACAGGGAGTACCAGATCAACGTGGGAAGCTTATACAGGAGTACCATACCAGTCAATGTGGACTATATACAGGGAGTACCAGATCAATGTGGAAGCTATAACAGGGCAGGACCAAGTACCAGATCAATGTGGAGCTATATACAGGAGTACCAGAGCAATGTGCGAGCTAATACATGGAAGTACCAGAACAATGTGGAGCTATATACAGGGAGAGTACAGTACCGAACAATTGTGAGCTAGATACAGGGAGTAAAGTACCAATCAAGGTGTGAGCTATATACAGGGAGTACCAGTACAGATTCAATGGGGAGCTAATACAAGGGAGTACCAGTACCAGGAGTCAATGTGGAGCTAGATACAGAAAAGTACAAGTACCGATCAATGTGGAGATATATAACAGGAGTTGTACCAGTAACCAGATCAATGTAGAGATATATAACAGGAAGTAACAGTACCCAGTCAAGTGGCAGCTATATACAGGGAGTACCAAACAATGTGGAGTGAGCTATATACAGGAGACAATACCAGATCATGTGGAGCATATACAGGAAGTACCAAGTACAGATCAATGTGGAGCATATACAGGAAGTACCAGTACCAGCTCAATGTGGAGCTATATAATGGAAGTACCAGTTACAATCACTGGAGGCTATAATACAGGGAGTAATACCAGTACCAGATCAATGTGAGAGATTATACATGGAGTACCAGATCAATGTGGAGCTATGTATACAGGGAGTAGCCAGTACCAGATCAATATGGAGCTTACACAGGGCGTACCAGATCATGTGGAGCTATAGACAGGGAGTACCAGATTCAATGGGAGCTATAACAGGGGAGTACAAAGTTACCAGAGCAATATGGAGCTATATACAGGGAGTACCAGTACCAGATCAATGTGAGGCTATATACAGGGAGAGTACCGTACCAATCAATGTGTAGCATATACAGGGAAGTACCATACCAATCAATGTGGAGATATGACAGGAGTACCAGCTCAATGTGGAGCAGCTATATACAGGGAGCAAGTACCAGGTACCAGATCAATGTGGAGCTTATATACAGGAAGTACCAGTTATCCAGATCAATGTGGAGCTATATCAGGAAACATTACCTGTACCAGATCAATGTGGAGTATATACAGGGAGTTACAGATCAATGTGGAGCTATAACAGGGAGTACCAGTACCAGATCAATGTGGAGAGCTATATACAGGGGAGTACCAGGATCAATTGTGGAGCTATATACAGGGAGTACCAGTGTACCAGATCAATGTGGAGCTATATACAGGGAGTACAGTAAGATCAATGTGGAGCTATATACAGTGAAGTACCAGTACCAGATCAATGTGGAGCTATTACAGGAAGTACCGGTACCAGATTCAATTTTAGGAGCTAATACAGGGAGTACCAGATCAATGTGGAGCTATATACAGGGAGTACCAGTAGTCCAGATCAATGTGGAAGCTTATACAGGGAAAGTACAGATCAAGGTGGGCTATATACAGGGCGATACCAGGATCAAGTAGAGCTATTACAGGGAGTACCAGACCAGACAATGTGGAGCTATATGCAGGGAGTAACCAGATACCAGATCTCAGGTGGAATGTTATATACAGGAAGTACCAGTGACCAGACAATGTGGGAGCTAGATACAGGGAGTACAGATCAACTGGCAGCTATATACAGGAGTACCAGTACCAGATCAATGGGCCTATATCAGCGGAGTAACAGTACAGATTCATGTGGAGCTATTACAGGAAAAGTACCAGTACAGGATCATGTGGAGCTATATACAGGGAGTACCATACCAAATGGCAGGGGTATGAGGTATTTTGCGGTCGATATGGACATGAAGGCAGGGTGGTAAAGTGACTAGGCATCAGGATAGATAATAATAAGGTATTTGAGGTAGATATGTACATGAAGCAGGGGTAAAGGGACTAGGCATTCCGGATAGATACTAATAAGGATGGAAGGTGATATGTACCATGGAAGGCAGGTAAGTGACTAGGCATCAGGATAGATAATAAGAAGTATTTGAGGTTAGAATGATGGACATGAAGCAGGGTAAAGTGACTCGGCATCAGGATAGAGAATAATAAGGTATTCGAGGAGCATGTAAATGAAGAGGGGGTAAGTGACTGGCTCAGGATAGATAAATATACAAGTATTTGAGGTAGATAGGTAATATGTACAGAAGCAGGGGAACGGACTAGACATCAGGATTAGATAATAAAGGTATGAAGGTAGATCTGTACATGAAGGCAGGGTGTACAGGGTAAAGGATAGGCATAGGATAGATAATAATAAAGGTATTTGAGGTAGATCTGTACAGAAGGCAGGGTAAAGGGACTTAGGCATTCAGGATAGATAATAATAAGGTATTGAAGGTAGATTAGGGACATGAAGGAGGGTTTTTTTTTTTTTTTAATGACTAGGCATAGGTAGATAATATAATAAGGTATTTGATGGTAGTATATGACATAGCAGGGTATAAAGTGACTAGGCATAAGGATAGATAATCATAAGAAATTGAGGTGATATGTACATGAAGGCAGGGTGGTAAAGTGACTAGGCATCAGATAGATATCATAAGTATTTGAGGTAGATATGTCATGAAGGCAGGGTAGTATAAAGGACTAGCATCAGGATTAGATAGTAATATACGGTATTTGAGGGAGATTGACAG